GGTGGTGGTGGTGATGATGGTTGGTGGTGATGGTGGTAGTGGTGATGGTGGTGGTGATGATGGTTGGTGGTGATGGTGGTGGTGATGGTGGTGGTGGTGATGGTGGTGGTGGTGATGGTGGTGGTGATGGTGGTAGTGGTGATGGTGGTGGTGATGATGGTTGGTGGTGATGGTGATGGTGGTGGTGATGGTGGTGGTGGTGATGGTGGTGGTAGTGGTGATGGTGGTGGTGATGGTGGTAGTGGTGATGGTGGTGGTGATGGTGGTGATGATGGTGGTGATGGTGATGGTGGTGATTATGGTAGTGGTGATGGTGGTGGTGATGATGGTGGTGATGGTGGTGGTGATGATGATGATGGTGGTGGTGATGATGGTAGTGGTGATGGTGGTGATGATGGTGGTGATGATGGTGGTGGTGATGATGATGATGGTGGTGGTGATGGTGGTGGTGATGGTAATGGTGATGATGATGGTGATGATGATGGTGGTGGTGATGATGGTGGTGGTGGTGATGGTGGTGGTGGTGATGGTGGTGGTGGTGGTGATGATGGTGGTGGTGATGATGATGGTGGTGATGATGATGATGGTGATGATGATGATGGTGGTGATGATGATGGTGGTGGTGATGATGGTGGTGGTGGCGGTGATCGGTGCTACTAGCTAACAGCACTTGCCCCGACAGTCTAACAAGGCTATACGGGGGAGGAGGGGTCTTTGTCTTTGGTGGTGATACTGGTGGTGGCCTCAACCTGCACCTAGCCTGGCACAGTAGGGGGCACAGGTGGTGCATCTGCCAGTAGCCATCTCAGTCAGTCGACCCGTGGCACCTGCTGGGTCTGTCCTGTCACCTCCTGTCAGCGAGCCATCAGCACCTCGTATGGCCTCAAAGTGCACCTAGCCTGGCACGAGCGCAGCAGTGATATGGGCGTCACGGTGCCGAGATGTTAACTACCTCGCCTGGATTACAGGAGGTCGTGGGTTCGATCCCAACCCTGACGCCTGCTGCTGTATATTTGGAGTTTGCGTGTCTCTCTCTCATCATCATCACGGTGGCTCGGAGATGTTAACTACCTCGCCTGGTCTACAGCAGGTCGTGGATTCGATCCCGACCCTGACACCTGCTGTATATTTGGAGTTTGTGTGTCTCTCTCTCATCATCAAGGTGGCTAGGAGATGTTAACTACCTCGCCTGGTATGCAGGAGGTCGTGGATTCGATCCTGACCCTGACGCCTGCTGCTGTATATTTGGAGTTTTCGTGTCTCTTTCTCTCTGTGGTTGCGTGGATTTTTCTCCACGTCCCCCGTTTTTTCTCCTCCACATGTATCATCAGCATCACGCGTTCAGAGTATTTGGCTGCTGTACATTTCCACATAATAATAATGATGATGATAAGGCCACTAAGTTGAGATATCTTTTGTAATGGCCAGGTCGCTTCTGAAAAAGAGCTGTATTTATAGTAGCTCAGAGGGCCTTACCTGATAAAATTAAAAGTTTTAAAATATTTTTTTTAATTTTGGCCACCAGACGGCAGTGCAGGATTAGCCAAAGTCAACAATTAGGCAGACATTGTGACTTTGCTGGGTAAATACCATTCTAAAAATACAATTTTAAATGCTAGCCAAAACACTTACGAAATAACAACCTCATTAAAGGTGTACCTATAAAATGGAAATTTGTGATTATGTGTGTGTCTGTTCAAAATGTTTATCATAAAATGAGATGTGATAGAGCAAATATGAGATCAGATTTGGAATCAGCACCCTGAAATTAGTCTAAAACAGCTGCAAAAGTCACTATGAGACCTTTACCAGTGGCAAAATATAGTAGTAGATTTTTACCTTTTAAACTGGTACAAAAACTGACACCTTTATACAAGGCATCATGTTTGCAATAACCGCAACACAAGCAGTCAAAATGCAAACAAAAATAAACAACTCTGATAATGGTAATGATATGCACTGTCCTTGAAGTTGATTGGTCCACACCCGAGACAGCTTTCCTTAGAGCCGAGTCTCACATGGTGTTGGACCAGATGACGCCAAAAGGTGCACAACTCAAAGACAGCGCACTATCAGAGTATTAAGAGCTCGGGGTAAGCATTCACACTATGAGACATCCTTTACCAGTGGCAAAATATAGTGGTAGGTTTTTACCCTTTAAACTGGTACAAAACTGACACCTTCATACAAGGCATCATGTTTGCAATAACCACAACACAAGCATGTTCGTTCCGCCCATTCCCGTCCCATCGCAGCGAGGAAAACGTCTGGAAGTTGATCGAGCACGTCCGTGGGCGGGGGCGGACGTTGCAGGGACTCTACGCCGTCTTCATATCCAACGACGCGAGAACGGTGGGTCTGGTCTGTCGCGACCGCCTAGCCCCAAGCAGAGGTCGCAAACGGGTTTTGATTCCTTACACGTACCCGGCTGCACCAAGGTCGCAAATGGGTACCCGTACCCGTACCCGGTCGGGTACAGGGTCGCAAACGTTCCTTACCCGTACCCTACCCGAAATGAGTGACAAACGGTGACTCACCAGTGACTCACGGCCTACCCGTACCCGTACCCGGCCGCACCAGGGTCGCAAACGGGTACCCGTACCTGGCCGTACCCGTACCCTACCCGTACCCGGCCGGGTATCCGGTAGGGTACGGGTATCGGGATACCTGATTGCGACCTCTGGGATGAAGCCATGTTGCAGGCGCGGGTGGGTTGATTCTATGAACTTGAATTGTGAGAAGAGACGACGTTGGGAAATGAGTGACAAACGGTGACTCACCAGTGACTCACGGCCTACCCGTACCCGTACCCGGCCGCACCAGGGTCGCAAACGGCTACCCGTACCAGGCCGGGTACGGGTAGCCGGATACGGGTAGGGTACGGGTATCGGGTACCCGGTTGCGACCTCTGGTCTGCGTTGAAGACACACACATCATGCCTGCAGCCACGTCGTAAGTTCTGCACGTTGTGCAACTCACGTTGTGAACGGTGGCCGCTGTGTTGCAGGTGCCCTTGTGGAGACAGAGGTGCAAGCAAGGCACAGACGAACCTGTGCTCTGGGTACGTGAACAACTGCGCCCGTGGCATCACACACACATCGTACGAACACTTGTACGACGCTGTGCTTCAGTTGTTGACGTTAATTATTGCTGCACCAAATATCCGCTTGATGAGATGAGTCACTCCATTGGAACCTCATTTGCCAGTAAAAAATATATGATAATTGTTTTTTTACCCTTCTATCTGGCAACAAAACTGACACCTTTTTTTACAAGGAGTCATGTTTGCATAGACCACAATACCTGCAGTCGTAATGCAAACAAAAAACACAACTCTGATAATGATATGCACTGTCCTTGAAGTTGATTGGTCCACACCCGAGACAGCTTTCCTTAGAGCCTAGTCTCACATGGGTTGGACCAGATGACGCCAAAAGGCGCACAACTCAAAGACAATGCACCATCAGAGTATGAGAGCTCGGGGTAAGCATTTACACCATTGGAACCTCATTTGCCAGAAGAAAAAATATGATCATTTGGTTTTTACCCTTTTATCTGTATGCGTGTGTGTGTGCGCGTGGCTTTGCGTGTGTGTGTGTCTGTGTGCGTGTGTGTGTGTGCGTGTGTCTGTCTGTGTGTCTGTGTGCGTGTGTCTGTGTGTGTGTCTGTGCATGTGTCTGTGTGTCTGTATGCGTGTGTCTGTGTGTCTGTATGCGTGTGTGTGTGTCTTTGTACGCCCGGCTCGCACCGCCCCGCCGACCTAGGACTACCACGTGCTGCTACTGCTGCAGCACGCCGGAGATGGCAGCAACAGCAGCAACAGCAGCAGCAGCAACAACAGCAGCAGCAGCAACAACAGCAACAGCAGCAGCAACAGCAACAACAGCAGCAACAGCAGCAACAGCAGCAGCAGCAACAGCAGCAGCAGCAGCTTGGTGTACGACCTGGACACCACGCTGCCGTTCCCCTGCACCCTCGACTCCTACGCCGCACACGCCCTGCGCTCGGACCGCGACCTCAAACGTCGCTACCGGAGGTCGGCCCGTGGCCACTTTGTGTTTTTTTTCAATCACGTGACGGACGTCAAAGTAAACTCGTGCCCAAGTGTGTCTGTTAGCGCTACGCTGCGCTACGAACCCGCCAGAGACCCGAGTTGGATTCCCGCTCATGGCCAATACCGGTGACGATTATCTGAACCGGTCCTGGGCCTCTCCTAGGAGGACCCGGCCTCAAATGAGTTACCTGCTGCGGTGTGCAGTAAACATCGCCACTGGGGAGACAAAGGCGGCCGGGCGTGGTGCTGGCCACCCACCCCCTCGTGTGCCGTGCCGGCCTTCATAGGTGCTCGCTTACAGCACTTGCCCCTACAGTCTGTTAAGGTTACACGGGGGGGGGGATTTTTTTTTTTACTACTGCTGCATGCCCAAGCACCTTCCGTTTGGCCGGATGGAGGGTAGGCGAAACGGGCACAACGCTCGGCTGGAGAAGAGATGGAACTGATGCGGTTACGGGAGAATGCGGAGCCTAGGAAATGTATAGCAGCAGCAGCAGCGAAATACTATAAACGCGTGACGTTCATTCTAAATGTGGAGGGGAAAAACGCGAGGACCCGGAGAAAAATCCACGCGACAGAAGAGAGAGAGACACGCAAACTCCAAATATACAGCAGCAGGCGTTAGGGTCGGGATCGAACCCACGACCTCCTGTATACCAGGCGAGGTAGTCAACATCTCCTAGCCACCGTGATGATGATGAGAGGGAGAGACGCAAACTCCAAATATACAGCAGCAGGCGTCGTCAGGGTTGGGATCGAACCCACGACCTCCTGTATACCAGTAGAGGTAGTTAACATCTCCTAGCCACTGTGATGATGATGAGAGGGAGAGACGCAAACTCCAAATATACAGCAGCAGGCGTCGTCAGGGTCGGGATCGAACCCACCGCCTCCTGTGTACCAGGCGAGGTAGTCAACATCTCCTAGCCACCGTGATGATGATGAGAGGGAGAGACGCAAACTCCAAATATACAGCAGCAGGCGTCGTCAGGGTCGGGATCGAACCCACCGCCTCCTGTAGACCAGGCGAGGTAGTTAACATCTCCCCCCCCCCCCGTGTGGCCTACAGGAGGCTGCGGGTGGTCCCTGCCGACACGTTTGTGAGGACGTTCGCGTCGGACCGCTCACACATGCGTGACGCGCTGGGCCAGTGGAGGGCACCACCTCCACCACACCCGTGCATCCACACCGAAGGTGTGTGTGTAGCGTGCGTGTGTGTAGTGTGTGTAGTGTGTGTGTAGTGTGTGTGTGTAGTGTGTGTAGTGTGTGTAGCGTGCGTGTGTGTAGTGTGTGTAGTGTGTGTAGTGTGTGTAGTGTGTGTGTGTAGTGTGTGTAGTGTGTGTGTGTAGTGTGTGTAGTGTGTGTAGTGTGTGTAGTGTGTGTGTGTAGTGTGTGTAGTGTGTGTGTGTAGTGTGTGTAGTGTGTGTAGCGTGCGTGTGTGTAGTGTGTGTAGTGTGTGTAGTGTGTGTGTGTAGTGTGTGTAGTGTGTGTAGCGTGCGTGTGTGTAGTGTGTGTAGCGTGCATGTGTGTGTAGCGTGTGTGTGTAGCGTGCATGTGTGTGTAGCGTGTGTGTGTAGCGTGCGTGTGCGTAGTGTGTGTGCGCGTAGTGTGTGTCTGTAGCGTGTGAGTAGCGTGTGTGTAGCGTGTGTGTGTGTAGCGTGTGTGAGTAGCGTGTAGCGTGTGTGTGTAGCGTGCGTGTGTGTAGTGTGTGTGTTTAGCGTGTGTGTGTAGCGTGTGTGTAGCGTGCGTGTGTGTGTAGCGTGCGTGTGTGTAGCGTGCGTGTGAGTAGCGTGCGTGTGAGTAGCGTGTGTGTGTGTAGCGTGTGTGTGTGTAGCGTGTGTGTGTGTAGTGTGCGTGTGTGTGTGTAGTGTGCGTGTGAGTAGCGTGCGTGTGAGTAGCGTGCGTGTGAGTAGCGTGTGTGTGTGTAGCGTGCGTGTGAGTAGCGTGTGTGTGTGTAGTGTGCGTGTGTGTGTGTAGTGTGCGTGTGTGTGTGTAGTGTGCGTGTGTGTAGCGTGTGTGAGTAACGTGTAGTGTGTGTGTAGCGTGCGTGTGTGTAGTGTGCGTGTGTGTAGCGTGTGTGAGTAACGTGTAGCGTGTGTGTGTAGCGTGCGTGTGAGTAACATGTGTGAATAGCGTGTGTGTGTAACATGTGTGAGTAGCTTGTGTGTAGCGTGTGTCTGGCCTGACACAGGTGCCGTGGTGATGTCACCGTCACTTAGTGGCGAATGGCCGGTACTGGTATCGTTGTCCGTGTGTGCGTCTGTACCCTATGGGGGAGCGGTGGTGCAGCGGTTAGCGCTACGAACCCCGCGACCCGCGTTCGATTCCCGCTCACGGCCAACGCCGGTGACGGATTATCTGAACCGGTCCTGGGCCTCTCCCCTAGGTCGACTCAGCCTCAAACGAGTACCTGGTTGCGGCATGTAAAACAACAACATGGCCACCGGGGAGACAAAGGCGGCCGGGCGTGGCGCTGGCCACCCACCCACCCCCTCGTGTGCCGTGCCGGCCTTCATAGGCGCCTGTTACTAACGTCACTCGCCCCAACGGTCTGTTAAGGCTACACGGCAGAGGTCGCAACTGGGTACCCGATACCCGTACCCTACCCGATACCCGGCTACCCGTCCCCAGCCGGGTACGGGTACAGGTAGGCCGTGAGTCACTGGTGAGTAACCGTTTGTCACTCATTTCCCAACGTCTTGTCTCTTCTCACAATTCAAGTTCCTAGAATCAACCCACCCGCGCCTGCAACGTGGCTTCATCCCAGAGGTCGCAAATGGGGTACCCGATACCCGTACCCTACCCGTACCCAGCCGGGTAGGGTACGGGTACGGCCGGGTACGGGTACCCGTTTGCGACCCTGGTGCGGCCGGGTACGGGTACGAGGGGTAAGGAATCAAAACCCGTTTGCGACCTCTGCTACACGGGAGATCTTTGTCTTCGTTAGCCGCCAATGCGTGCACCCCCCTCCCCCTCTTTGACGAATCGCCGCGGCCGTCATCCCCCCCGCTCCCTCCCGCAGGCTGCGTCATGAACCTGGACGACTTCGTGAGCATGGACCCGTCCGTCGGCTACGGGGAAGTGCTCACCCTGGAGGACTTCGTGGAGAGGTTTCGGAAGCCGGCGCCGTCACCACCGCCGAGTTCGGAGCCTCGTTAACGGGGCTCGAAACGGTCGCGGCGTCGAGACGAATCCGCCGGTCGCTCCCCGACGGTGCACGGCAAAGGGCAAGATCGCCCCCCCCCGACCACGGCTACCGACCTCCTGTACACCAGGCGAGGTAGTTAACATCTCCTAGCCACCGTGATGATGATGAGAGAGACACGCAAACTCCAGATATACAGCAGCAGGCGTCGTCAGGGTCGGGATCGAACCCACGACCTCCTGTACACCAGGCGAGGTAGTCAACATCTCGGCAGCGCTTGCCGCACGGAACCAGCGGAGACGCTCCGAGTTCGGTTCCCCGCTCACGGCCACCAACGACCCACGGCGGATAATTCTAACCGGTCCCGGGGCCTCCCCCTAGGTCGACTCGGCCTCAAACGAGTCCTGCCCTGGCACGGCGGTGGAGTGTGTGGTGAGCATCGCCACCGGGGAGACATGGTGAGGGGCCTTCATAGGCGCTGCTACTCGCCGCTAGCAGCACTTGGCCCAAGTCTGTTGAAGGCTACACGGGGGATATTTGCGTTTTGTGTGTGAGAGAATGTACACACGACGGAATTCTCAAATACTTATTTCCCTCATTAAAATGCAAATCAATTTATAACATTTTTGACATGCGTTTTTCTGTATTTTGTTGTTATTCTGTCTCTCACTGTTCAAATAAACCCACCATTAAAATTATAGACTGATCATTTCTTCGTCAGTGGGCAAACGTATAAAATCGGCAGGGGATCAAATACTTTTTTAAATCCTTTATATTAAGTTCGCTTGCTTGCTTGCGCGCTTACGACCGTGCAAATCTTTCGGTCGTTTTTTAACCCACTTCCCGTGATCCAATCGAGCTGACATTTTCACACAGACTGGTTTGCGTGACAATTTATTTTCGTGAAAATTTTTTTCCAAAATTTTCCACTTTTTTGGAAAAAAAAAATTCACTAACACAATCATATATTTTTCCTAAACACAGAAAATTATTCAAGAAAACAACAAAAATGTACAATATAAACAATCGTACAAAAACTGAAAACCTTATAATCCTTATATACGACTTTCCTTATATTTAATTTAAAATACCAATGTGATGAAAATGAAACTCTTACTCAAGAAAAACGGAAATGAATAATAAAATAAAACCGATGCCACGCATATAAAGGATTTATAGTGAAAAACTTTGTTTTTACGGGTTAATTTTTTTCCCTCACTGTAAATGTACTAAGTTCTCGGCCGAGTTGGTGAACGAGTTGGTTGATGCATTTGACGAGTCTACGGAGAGGATGAATCGACGTCGCCAGCGTGTTCCTAGGCGACGCTCGCTGAGAACGCACTTGTCCCAAAAGTCTGTTGAAGGCTACACGGGGGATCTTTGTCTTGTGTGTACGCGACGACAAAGTCGGGGCGGGAGACGTGGTTTTTTAACCTTTGACTCGGGAGTTCGTTTTGTACAACCACCACCACTCACCATCACGACAACCACCACTGCTATCACCACCACAACCACCATCATCATCACCATCATCATCACCACTATCACCCTCACCATCACAACCACCACAACCACCATCATCACTATCACCACCACAACCACCACACCTACCATCATCACCATCATCACCACTACCACCATCATCACCTCTATCACCCTCACCACCACAACCACATCACTACCATCACCATCATCACCATCATCACCACTACCATCACCACCACTATCACCCTCACCACCACAACCACCACACCACCACAACCACCATCATCACCATCATCACCACTATCATCACCACCATCATCACCGCACCTCCGATTAGCACGGCTGGCTGTGTTGTTTGCAAAAGAAGTCTCAACACACGTGTGTACATAAACTATGAACTCTTTATTGTATTTCAGCAGGTAAGGCTCCCACTGAGCTGTGTAAGATCATCACCATCATCGTCATCATCATCATCGTCGTCGTCATCATCATCACCATCATCATCACCATCATCATCACCATCGTCGTCGTCATCATCATCACCACCGTCATCATCATCATCACCACCATCATCACCACGTGGAAATGTATTGCAGCCAAATACTCTGAACGTGTGACGTCGATTGTAAATGAAGGGAACAACCGGACGAGCCGGAGAAAAATCCACGCGACCACGGAGAGAGAGACACCGCAAATATACAGCAGCAGGCGTCAGGGGTGGGGATCGAACCCACGACCTCCTGTGTACCAGGCGAGGTAGTTAACATCTCCTAGCCACCATGATGATGAGAGAGAGATGCAAACTCCAAATGTACAGCAGGTGTCAAGGTCGGGATCGAACCCACGACCTCCTGTATACCAGGCGAGGTAGTTAACATCTCGTAGCCACCATGATGATGATGATGAGAGAGAGAGACACGCAAACTCCAAATATACAGCAGCAGGCGTCAGGGTCGGGATCGAACCCACGCGCTCCTGTACAGCAGGCGAGGGAGTTGCACACATTTCTAGATGCGCAGAAAAATTGTAACCGGTTTTGTCCCACGCTGTTGCCGATTACGCAAAAATAAACCCCCAAACTTGAAGCACCCGAATTAACGTAACCCCCATGGCAGCCACTCGAGGCTTATCATTCATCCACGATTGTTAAACGGGGAAAGGGAATAAGTAACATTTTAAAAAACTTTGTAAAAAACACGCTTTAATGAAATGTACTAGTAATGGAAGAACTCCACGACTCCAGGAAGTGGCCCTGAAGATTGCACAACGTAAGGGGTCGTGGCCAATTACAGCCAACGTCAGTTGAGCGTGGACAATTAGACCCAAGCCGAAACATAACATGTAAAAAATTATTTTTAACAAATATTTTTAATGATAGAATATCGTATTGTCATCAGTATGACGTAAATATACCAAGTTTACAGTCGATACCACGTTGGGAAGTGGGTTAAAATTGAGTTACAAGATTTGAGGATACAACAACAGTCAGTGATTCATCTTCTTGGTTCTTTCGGTAAAGTCACGTAGAATGGAAATAATAAAATAATAAAAATAAAATAATTCTCACGACGTTTCGGCCACAACACAAGCAGCCGTCCTCAGGTGAAGAACAGGTCTGTCGAGAAGACAGCGTCTGAATGACAACCCCAGGCTTGGAGCGTCTATTTCCCTTCTCGTGACTTTACCGAAAGAACCAAGAAGATGAATCCCTGCAGTCACGAAAGAAGCTTTAAATCGAAATTTAACAGACAGTTAGTTAAATGAAAGAGTGTAAAATTAAAATTTGATCATCGTTTGATTGAATTTAATGGCAAACCCATAAGTGTGTAACGATTCCCGAATAAAACTGTGTTATTCTCTCGCGTTCATATCGAAGTAGATTGCATCATCCCAGCCTTGAATGTTTTACAACAACAAAAATATCAAATCGGGTTGTCGCGTGATTATAAACACTGGAACAAAAATATGTTTTTTTTAATGTACTGGTAGGAACCTCCTGGTTACACCAGCCCACAGGGGATTATTGTGTCCGTCGGTCGTGAAGGGAACGGCTGGGTGGGGAGGGAGGTGCTGGGTGGGGAGGGGAGGGTGGGGAGGGGCAGGGTGGAGAGGGTGGGGAGGGGAGGGTGGGGAGGGGAGGGAGGGGCTGGGTGGGGAGGGGCAGGGTGGAGAGGGTGGGGAGGGGCTGGGTGGGGAGGGGCTGGTCACCCCGTGGTGCCCTTATAAAACTCAACGTTTCACCTACTCACGCCGGCTTGTGCCCGCCCTCACAGTCGGGCATATTTGCGGAATACACCACGCCGCCGTTGACCCTGCAGGCCATTGACCGAGCAACCCAACGTGTTCCTACCAGCTCCCTCCGCAGTCCCTGCAGAGGTCGCAACCGGGTACCCGATACCCGATACCCGTACCCGGCCAGGTACGGGTACGGGTACCCGTTTGCGACCCTGGTGCGGCCGGGTACGGGTACGGGTAGGCCGTGAGTCACTGGTGAGTAACCGTTTGTCACTCATTTCGGGTAGGGTACGGGTAGGGAACGGATACCCGTTTGCGACCCTGGTGCGGCCGGGTACGGGTAAGGAATCAAAACCCGTTTGCGACCTCTGCGTCCCAGGCAGCTCAGATGGCGCTGCTGTTCTTGCGCTGGATCTGGAAGTCCAGCACCTTGGGCTGCGTCGACGGGGTGAACGGGATTGAGTCCAGCACCAACTTCTTGCCGATTGTCTCCACCTGCGTGGCGAGAGGGGGGGGGGGTCGGGGGGGTGGGGGGGTCAAGTTGAAGGTCAAGTTCATGTATTAGGTGTAGAGCCCTGTGAGCCATTCGGCTCTTGAATCGGGTGAAACCGCAACAAACAAAAAACATCTTGTAGTGAATATGTGACTGAGTGCAAACAGAAAATCCAAGAAAAGACAGCAAAATATTGCAGAAAAAGCACCGTACACAAACACTGTGTGCAAAAATCCCAGTGGGATGCAAGTCAAACAACAACAACAACAAGGCAACTTAGATTAAGGCCATCAGTCTAACTCTGTACTACAACAACACAAACATGGCCAAACCAATACACTTTTCGAAATCATGGTCGGCTACGTACGGCGCGAAAGTCCAACGCACGTGCGAAAGTAATCGGATTACTTGGGCGATCGGATCACTTGGGTAGTCGGATTACTTTTGTAATCGCGCCTCCCATGAGCTCGGTCGGCTTACGTACATAAGAAGTCCAACACGTACGAACGTACATCGGATTACTCAGTCGATCGGATTACTTTTGTAATCGGATTACTTTTGTAATCGGATTACTTCTGGTGGGGCTAGCTGTCACGTGACGGGTTGCTGCGGGTTACCTGGAAGCCGATGCGCTGCAGCGTCACGTGGAGCTTGTCCAGGACCCTGCGTCCGTCGAAGATGAATGCAGGCTTCAGCATCTCGGCGTAGATCCTCGCGTAGTCCAGCTCCTAGCGGCGCGCAGCGGTTCAGATGTCACTGACGATGACGACGATGATGATCGTGATGACGATGATCGTGATGACGACGATCGTGGTGACGACGATGACGATCGTGACGATCGTGATGACGATGATTGTGGAAACGACGATGATGACGATGATCGTGAAGATAATGATGATCGTGATGACGATGATCGTGATGAGGACAATCGTGGTGACGACGATGACGATCGTGATGACGATGATCGTAGAAATGACGATGATGATGATAATGATGACGATGATCGTGAAGATAATGATGATCGTGATGAGGACAATCGTGGTGACGACGATGACGATCGTGATGACGATGATCGTGGAAACGACAAT